AAATTGGTAATGGTAAATGTAAAATTTCTGAATCCCAAATAGGGAAGTATATATTTATTTACGTAAATATTCGAAACCGAAAATCTGTATAGACGGTCTTGTCAACCCACTACAAATTTTGTCAGGACGGATCGGTTGATTAATAGGCCAATTGTCATGTCAAATAAATAACTAAAATACCGAAGAATAAAGTTACCATAGTGATGATAAAAGACTTGTCGAAGTAGTAAGAAGGTCATCCGTGAGAATAAAATATCGTTACTTTTGTTTCTACCATCACTCAGATGTGAACAACTTACCTGAAACCACCTCTTGACCGTAATGGAGGAACTGTTTGGCCGCAGCTCCGGCTGGAGTGTGAGCTAAGATCACAGGAAGTAGCGTCTGGAAAAGCAAGAGTCAGGGAATGACGTCATATTAGTTGGAAGAAAAGGGGAAAATATTAATTATATTCTTGAAAGAATTTTCTTATATGTGAAGATTTTGTGAACATTTTAATTTTACTTTGTAAACTTTCGTTTAAATATAAGATTTAACTTCTAAAAATATGGAAAAAAGATAATAAATGCGTTGTAAATAGTTTGATCTCGTAGTCACAAGGTGCTTGGAATATTTTCAGATGCACAATCACTCTTCCACAGTAGTCATGTGGATTCTTTTTTATTATCCTTTCATTTTTGGGAGGTACGAAATTAAAAAAATTAATATGTCTAAGGATAATTTAAAGAAATGTATCATTAATAATTAAATTTTGTTGGAAAATATGTAGCTAAAACTATTATGGGACTCACAAAATCCTAAAATGAAACTTACTTTGTTCAAATTCGTAGTATCGAAGCCGACCGTCAAGAAGAGGATATTGCTGCACACGCTCTGCGTAACAGCTCCGTCTTCGCAAAGGTCTTCTCCTGCCGCTTTCAAAATGGCCGAGTTCGTGAAAAACTTGTATAAGCCCAAATCATCCCACAGGATCTGCAGAAATGTTTGCTCGTAAAATAATTTATTTCATATTTTGGCTGTTTAATTACTTATAATTTCAATATACAAAGCGTTTGCTATCCCAAATAACTCATTCTAATTGTGATGGTTTTACAAGTATTGCAAAAGTATTCGACATTCATGTAAGGTGAGTTAATTAGATCCAAGTCACGACTACTGCCATACTTCGGAAAGCCTTCAGAGTATGTTAAGCAAAATTGGTCCTACCAAAAATGCCTAGTTTGTACAAATATCGTTATTGAAAACTGGCGTTCTTAAGCTCTGCCAGGCATGTTGATGACATCATCCCATTTTTTAGGCGGTGACTAGATATCCATTTAATGTTTAGAAACCCAGCCCTTAGAAATAAAGAACCCAAATCTGTAGGAATAATTTATTAATTCATGCGAATTTTTAAACATTCCTGCTTTACATTTACTCATGAGCCATTTTGCAAAGTTTGTTGGTAGGATTCAGGGACATCTGAAAAAGAATTCCAAACGCGCTTCAGCCTTGATGCTTTAATAATACTGCTGGAACCATTCTATCTCTAAATTGAGACGTCACCTTCCATGCAAAGGTAGTACTCTTCTCCAGACGATCATCACCTTCATTTTGATGATGAAAAACAATTAAGTTAATAATTGGTTTTTAGGAGGCATGAAGCTTGTCGAACATTTCAACTTAACTTTGTTGATTTCTCAACAATAAACCAGAATTCGAGGCCTAATTTTCGTGACAATCACTTTGTGAATATTGGGGGCTGAGTTCTACCATTGACACGTCAACAGTACCTGGAACCATCTTTTATATGCGGGAAACTTACAAGCATTCGACAAGATGTCATTATTCTTACAAGAATCTGACATCGAGTTTTTATATTCTTGTATAATATGCAATATGTACGAAGTATTGATAAAGTTGTGCAATGCTGCGGAAAATCAATTTCGAGATTTTATCGGAAAACTCGTTTTGGGGTCCCCTGATAGCGGGAAAGTGTTTTTTTTAAACGTCCGTCCGTCTGTGTGTTATATTTTGTCTGTGCTATTTCTTACCGTATTGTACCGTTTCTACCGTACTCTTTCTTTTTGATAGTTGATTGGAGTGTTACATGACTCGATAAAACTGTTTGGTTTCTTAGCAAATAGCGTTTATAAGCATTATAATTGAAAGATGATTTATTAATACGCGCGCGGCGATGGTGTAGCGGTTAACGTATCGAACTGTTATACCCAAATTGGCGGGTTCAAATCCGTGGATTTTTATAGGCGAAAAAAATCCTTGTGCGCCTTCCTTCGGAGGGGAAGTAAAGCCGGCTGTCCCATGTTAGTACATTTACTTGCATGTAATAGATCTTCATGCCTAAATGACACCTTTGAGCTAAATTCAAATCGCCTGTTTCTCGCCCAAGAAATACCTCCTTGCTCTGCTAGTTGATGAAAGGAGCGTAGCGAAATTTGCGTGGTCAGAGAGCAGGCTTCATGGCTTGAGTCTCGCCACGTAAAATAAGGCATTAATTCAATTCAATGTGGGATGTTTTCAAATCACTGAATAGTATCCCGCGTGTTTCGTAATACTGAACTTAAGTTCATCAATTTATGTTATTAGCTCAGCTTAATAGAATTAGTTCGCTTAATTCTTGTTAAATTTCTATTCAAAATACAGAAAAAGAAAGTATTTTCTAACATAAATTTGAAGATCCGCGAAATTAAATGTCTAAATATTTTTTTAAAACTTTATTCCAACATTGGGAGGGAGCACTTGTCGCTCCTGAATCTCGCCTCTGGTTCTCTCATTGGTACGTGACTTCACTAGTAGGCATCGGGTGCTTCGATAAAAATGTTCTAGGCCAAATTTTTCTCAGCGCAAACGCCAGGAAAACAAAGTGTTCATCCGTTCTTTCATTACAATATAACGATACAAAAAAATTAGCAGTTCTTTAAAGTCGATTGTCGCAACCAACCTTACATCAGCAATCAATATTTTGAGTTTCATTACTGGAGTGCACTCGTAAATTGATTTCCGTTATAAAATATTAATTGTAATTGCGAAATATTTTGCCCAATTTATTTGTGAATTTACGACTTTGTTATTTTCACGTGCAACGGAGGAATTTTGTCTTAAGTGTAACATCTGAGATACTGTTTCATTTTCATTCATAATGAGATAATAAACTTGATCTCATAGTTCGCTATCTTCGTGCCGACACGTACCAGTGAGAAGAATTTCTGACTGTAGCGTACCTAGTGTTTTCTTTCGTCACATAGCTATAGAAGATTTGTTTTGGTAGAGTTCAACTTCATTTCTGCTTCGTCCTGAACTCGAACCCGGGCCGCCTCACAGAATTCTATTGTTAATGCGCATCTGTTAATGAGCCACCAGAGAGTCTGAAAGTAATGCACAATGCGCTTTCAAAGAATTAAGACGCTTCGTTTGAGCTCTGTAGGAAAGCGTCTGAGGAATCACAGAGCCAGCAATTCCGTCGTCTCTGCAGCGATTGACTAGAATGTTTTAGGATTAGACTCGCGGCGGTGGCGGATTTTCATCATAAGTTAAGACAGCAAGGTCGAATACAGCCGCTATCTGGAATACAGCTCTAGCAGCTACAGCTCCGATCGGTTTTCCGTGGTTTCTCCGATCAGCATCAGGCGCAAGCCGGAGCAGTGCTCTCACAAATTGCGCGATTGTTTCTTCTTCCTCTTTGCCACATCGTCTTCCCTTTCGCACACACTTGCACTACACTTCCACACATACCGCTTGCTTGTTCCAGCTGAAGAAGTACCCCGCTGGGGTGATACCTAAAGGAGGGAAATAAAACAGACGTGCGGGAGAACGCTGAATTTCACCATCCAGCGGGAGAAGATCACTGCTACTTTGCGGTATACTATAAACACGGGGCCAATGACTGTAGCAGTTTACATGCCCGGAAATGCCAATCAATCAATCTGTAGATGAAATCATCAAAAATCCTACACCAGTTCTACTAATACTTTCTCGACGCTTGCATTGAAACGCAGTGAGGATCTACGCACCTCATCGAATTCGTAGGACCAGGCGAGCGCCTTGAGAAAAGGGCTGGTCACGTGGTTCATGAATGCGATGGGCGCCAGGCTGAACATGAGGCGGATCTTGTCGTTGTACTCGGGCTTGAGAGAGTTAAGCACGAAGAAAGAAGTCGTGCCCATGGAGTGGCCGGCGTAATACAGCTTCTCCTTACCGGTGTAGTTCAACACGTAGTCGATCATGGCAGGCAGGTCGAACTTTCCATTCTCGTTCCAGCTGTAAATTACCGTGATATTAACAGTGAAATCAATGTTGGTGTATTGGTCGAAAGGGAAAAATGCCTCGTGCGGGCTTTTTCAATTCAGAAACTCTTTTAAATATGGTCGATTAAAATTAACATTATAACGTTGAAATTCCCCAAATTTGTTAATGCATGTAAAATGAATGTTTCTGATTCATTTAAAGTTTAGTCAAACCACGCACCCATGCATTCGCAATTATAGTTTTGGGATAAAGAGGGTGGATCTTTAGGGGATCAGCTTCTAGCGGACCCTAAGGAAGGGAGATTATTTATTTACTTTTTATTCATATAACCTCCAAAACTCTTAACAATATGTGTATTTATGGAAGATAGGTAAAATGTGGCCACGTTTTCTTGAGCTCCGGAGTCTCTATTACCGATGTTTTACTTCAATGAATTGAAATGTCAATAACGTGCCTTTTTGTCAAAAATTGATTACAAGAAATATTCGCTCCCGTGTAATAGAAATTATTTACATTTGCAAATGAGCCATCTCCTTTTGCTCTAATTCATTAGCGTTATCCTTGTAAATTGACCACTTACCGCAAGAAAATAGAGAACGATCACGTAATACTTAAATTTCCACTGATCCCCTCCACCCCCAGAGCTCAAGGAAACGTGCAGCGAAAGTGAAGCTACGTGGCTGTTCAGAAGGAAAACAAGGCTCATCTCAGAATTGGATCAAAAGATCAGGGTAAAAAAGGACCAGAATTTGATCGCGAACGATATTTGAGTTTGGATGAGAGTTGTTCAGGATGGGGAAAGCGTTTTGATCCGAAGAGCTGGTTCGCCTCAATCCTCTTCACAATTAATGGTGCTTCAAAATTACACACACTTATGTCCAAAGTGAATTGTTTTTAAAGGGTATTATGTCTGAGAACGTATATAATTTCATTAAATAAATAAATGGTTAATCAATATTAAAATTTAGAGTTGTCAAGTAAAATCGAATAAGAGTAACCTTGTTTTCCTTGAAATTTCCATTTTTTCCAATGTTTAGGCAACCATGATTAATTCAAATTTTAACCGGATAGATAATTTTTGGCGGAACCAAGATAGAAGTGGAGCAGACTAGTGAAGTGGTTAGTAGAACAGTAGAAGTGGAAGTAGAACAGTGAAATTGTTTAATAAACTACTTTGCAGATCTCAAATCCAAAAGTGAATATCAATACTTACTTGTGCCAACTGCGAAAGGGAAATAAAAGGTTAACTGTTGCCCTAGAGCGAGCATGCATGAATGTGAAAGTTTGAACTTTGTCTCTCACAGGTATTCCCAGAACGTCGTATTAATCTACCATATGATCATAAATTTGGAAAAATAGAGGAGTAGGCCCATCAAATTAGAATAATGAGTTCGGAAAGCCCTTGTCCTTTGTAGTTAACAACAATAGCGTAAGGTTTAGGGGTGAGGTCAACCCCTTGAAATTTCCTGAACCTATCGTTCAACGAGGAGATTTACTTTGCTCTTTACGGACAGGAGAGATCTTGACGTTTCCTGTAATTCCTCTCCCCGAAAAAAATGTGATTCCATTCTTGCACTTGTAATGGTTAACAAGATGAAGATAAATTATTTTAAAGATATCAAATTTTACAGACTTATATTAACAAAAAGGAAGTATTGACGGGCCATTACATTTCTTTTATTGTGGCTTTTAAGTTCGAGCAAGATAATCTATCCTGTATTTTTAAACTAAATCTATAATCAACAAATTTATTACAAAACGCTATGAAGTAAACATCTGCTGGAAAATAATATCAATTATATTAGAAATAAATGGAACGTACATGAGAAATGCAAAGAAACATTGAAAATAAATCGGACCAAAGAATGAGAAATAGTGGCATTGCTAGTGTAGCAAGAAGCATTGCGAAGAAAACTAGGTCAGACACACAGAATAGCATAGACACAGCTTCCGATACTACTTAACATAAAATGTGAGATATAAAAAATGTTCCAAGAAATAGTAGGGAGACAAACCACTCCATGAACAATATCTAAAAAGAATGGAAAAGGTGCAGATCAATAAAGATTAATAATTTATGGGGCTTTATGGGGAAGAAAGAGGCCAGAATCGGAAGCAGTTCTAATAGGTCATATCAGTTTTATAGGCCCCAGATCAGGCGTTGAGAACAGTACATTATGATAAAACGGTTCTCAAAATTTCCCTGTATGATAAATGACGCATTTCCCAAGAACAGGAAGAAACTCGTGATCATATTGTCTCAGCTTGTCTTAGCAAATTCTTGCTAAGACGGAATACTTGAAAAGACACGACAAGGTGTGTAGTTACCTCCACTGGCAGATCTGTACCGTCCTCGAGGTTCCAAGTGGTACGAACACTCACCAAAACCGGTAACAACTGTTGGACTGTATACCATACTGTACGACCAATAAAATCAATATATCAATCTCAATATGATAGCACGGTTTGCTAGCACGATAACGGCAAACGGATATTGTTATCCTGGATTTGGAGAAAACATCGTTTCTATTTGTAAATGTTTTTGTGCCGTGCGATCAAAACGTCGTAACCAAAGTAGCAGAGAAACTAAAGAAATCTTAAATACTTAAGTATGAAATACTTAAGTTTGGAAATCGAAATCAGTCGAATGTGGGGCGTAAAAGCATAGGTCGTTCCGATATTAATCATAGTTCTGGGATTTGTTCCGAAAAAATTGTGTAAGAACTTGTTTAAACTCCCAGGTCATTCAAAAGACTGGGAAGTACAAAAAATTGCTTTATTTGAAACAGCTCACACTGTGTGCAAAGTATTGTAGAGGCAGCGACAGTCCTTAGATCCTCTCCTTAGGAAGCTGCTGCGTGGTGTAGATTTTATATTCAACCGGCTCATAACATCTTTAGTCGGAAATTAGAGGAATAATGATAATAATAATTATTATTAGTTATTATTATTATAATGATAATAATGATGATAATTATAATTATAATAATAAATGTATAACAAAGCTGAGTACTGTGTTCACAACGAGACAAGAAGAGAAGAAAAGCTTCTTCCGTAACTCAAAGATAATTAATTGAGTTAGAAATTGACCTACAGCTACGCCAATGTGTCATTTGTCATTAACATCTTTATAATTTATTCGAAAAATGTAAGAGTCATCAGAGTCAGATTGTTTAGTGAATTGTATTAGTCAGACATGTGGTCTACTTCACGCGCATCTACTCACCTGAAGTTCCAGAATTCGTTGTCATCGGCTGTGTATCGAACATGTTGCCGAGAATATGTGTTTCCTCTGAAGTTGCCTAGCCACACATCATAACCAGCATCCGCGAGAATGTATGCTAAAATCAAAGAATATTGTATCACTTGGACAGTTTCACCATATCGAACATAATTTCTTATTATAAATCTTTCTTATTTTTGTTATTGACTCTAGTAAAAAAGAATGAACTGATAATGTTGGGAAACATGAAAAGCATTAACAAGGGTTAAAACTTGGATCAAAACGAAAACGCTGTGCTATTATGTATGCACAGCCGGAAAGTAATAAATTAGTTGAGACATCGCATTAAGTCAAATGTTTCCCAAATATCGAATCAAAGATGTAATGGAGATAGGAGTAAGCCGTGACAAGCCTGTATTCAGGTAGATGTAAGCATTCACGTCTTGGCACTATCAACGAGAGAAAATGGTTCGATACGAGAAGGTATAAAATTAAGAATATACTTGAAATAATAGCGCAGCCGAGGTATCGTTCTTGTCGATTAAGATTTCATTATTTAAAACCACATTTTTGCCATACTCAATATTCGTCAATTAAAGGAGAAGATCACCTTTTTCATACAAGTGCAGAACAACAAGCAACTTTTACGTAGTAATTACAGTTGTTTAAGCATATTTTTTAAAATTCTTGTGTAAAAATCTTTCATGAAATTACATTTGTTTGCAGATTTTCAAACTTTTACTGTGAAGATTTTAATAGAAACACAAGGTAGTACAGGACTAAAGCATTTTCTTTTTGAAATAAAAAATAAACATTTTCTTTGTACCCTATAATAGCTCTTGTCAATATGTTCGACTTTATTTCACGAAGACTTGCTTTAAACAAAGGTTGCAATGTTAGATATGGAAAGTGAGAGATGTTAACAATCTTAATTGGAAAACAAAACCAGAAGCCAGTTTATTGAGAATTTACTGTTTCGTTACATATGGTTACATATATTTTTATGGCCCCAATGTACAGTCATTAATTTATTCCACAGTTTTAATGACGTTTGAGAACTTCTAGTACGCTTCATCTGGAAGTGCAGATCCATAGAGCTTTGTTCTCAAATATTAATTCTTTCATTAATGTAATGTGCATTTTCGAACTTTTAGTAGTTTCCACGTGATGTAAAATGAAATGTGTCCAATATAAAAAAAACAAGAATTTCTCAAATACTGACCCAACTTTGTTCTTTAAACCTTTGGATTTAAGGTTGGTAGGAATAAGGCCAAATTTACTGTAATCGATAAAATAAATGCCATTTTGCACTACTGTTTTATTTTTTAACTTCATAATGCTAATTTTCAGAAAATCTCAAACAATATTTTATAAATGTGGTTCCAAATTTTTCAACGCAACGTAGGAAGTTATTTTGAGAATTTTAAATTGTCACGTTATGCCGGGTATTGCCATTGTCGTATTGCGATCTGTTAGAAGCTAGATTTGCTAAGATTCTAGCAAAAGAAGTCCGGGAGATTCGAATTTGCAAATTCGAAAATTGCAAAAATCACTCGAAACTACTCACATTTTTTAAAAAATGCATGTGACCTGAAGTAACGATCTCATTTTGAATATCACATGTCATTAAGTGAAAAGTCTCCATCAGCAATATTGTAGTTTTGTGATATTATTTTCTTGCAATTTTTGAAAAATACGAGGATTCTCCGAAAATAGGTTCAGCGCCACTTTATAACGGTGGTTTGCTGCACTCAAAAATATTTAAATAAATCATTTAGAGACGTTTATTGAGAAAATATTTTCATGATTTGTGAACATCCCATGCTAAATTACGCAAATACTCAGATTTTTTTAAAAACGTAGTTGAGCTTATTTAAAGATCCAACTTTGTAGAGCAGACACTATTTAAAAAAATATCTACCAAACCTAAAATTTGATTTCTACCTAATTTAGTTGTAGCAAGGTGGAAAAAATTAAACCATTGCAAATGTTGACAATTCAGGAAATTAAACCGAAATTAGATATGCGCCATTTTATAAGCATTTTTGTTCTCTCTGAAAAAATAAAGCACAAAATTTGGAGATATTTTGGAGAAAATTTCGAAAATGTTGTTCAGAGTTCATGTAAATACCCCCCAAAATTATTACACCAGTTTTATATTGAAGGGGCTGCGAAAAAAAGATTAATGTGGGACTTTTACAAATACACAGGTTAATTCCTCACTTTTTATAGAGGTCATCGGTGTGGTACAGATTATATTCACTTTTTAAGATATTAAATGAGTTGAAAACATTGGCATATGTACCTGTTGTAAATCACACTTCTAAAACTTTTACAACTTTAGAGGCTAATTTCTCACGTTCGAGACGTCCAATCTTACTTAAAGACGAGGCACACACAGACACTCCTTGTAGACAACATTTAATAGAAATATATTTTCTCCGGCGTGTCCCTACTATTCATGATCTAGTGACAAATCGGGCATCTTTGAATCAGCATGACGGCTACTTAAACTCGTCAAAACGATAAGACGCGATCATAATAATTAAATAAAAAATAGCTTTGAACTAGTAATTCAAAAGGACATAAAATTGAGATATTGAATTCAATATGATGTACAGTTTGAGACGCCACATCAGTATGCCATACAATCTCTCACTTTGGCTATCTGTCGATCAATATACAACAATAATTTACCAGTGAACTCATTACCCAAAGACAGTTGTTTTTTTGAGACATTCAAAAAATTGTGTATCACAACGCCGACACATACAGATCGCCATATTTGCGTCTCCCATTCTTCGTATCACTAGCTAACTTCTCGAAAAGTTTTAACTTTGCGCTTATGATACCTATCTCGAGCAGAGAGCTGAGCGGGCCTCACCGAGGGCGTGGTCGGGGCCCGTGAGCACCCAGTCAGCGGACGAGCTGAGGAGGCCGTGCTGCACGAAGACGGGCTCCCCGGTGGCGTTGCTGCTCCTGCCGTGCGGGATGCGGTGGAGGGAGAGGATGTAGCCGTCCTCCGTCTGCACCGTGTGCGTCTGGGACGGGTAGCCGTACGCCTCGATCAGCTCCGGCTGCAACACCACACCTCTTCACAACACACATTCAATATCCGGCGGGAAGGCTACGCGTCCTGTACCCATTATACGCAATGTAATCAAAAGTATCCGGACACTTGGCTGAAAATGACGTAGGAGTTCATGGCGCCCTCCGTCGGTAATGTTGGAATTTAATAGAATGTTGGCCCACCCTTAGCCTTGAAGACAGCTTCCACTCTTGCAGGCATACTTTCAATTAGAGGCTGGAAGGTTTTTTGGGGAATGGCCATTCTTTACGGAGCGCTGCACTGAGGAGACGATGTAGGACGGCGAGGCCTGGCACAAAGTCTGCGTTTCAAAGGATTTCAAAGGTGTACGATAGGATTCAACTCAGGACTCTGTGCAGGTCAGTCCATTACAGGGATGTTATTGCTGTGTAACCACCCCGCCTCATGCTGTGCAATGTGAAGAGCTGCTCGGTCGTGTTGAAACACGTAATCGCCATCTCCTAAATGCTCTTCAAGAGTGGGAAGCAAAGAGGTGTTTAAAACATCAACGTAGACCTGTGCCATGATAGTGCCGCACAAAACAACAAGGTTTGCAAGCCCCCTCCATGAAAAACACGACCACACCATAACACGATTTTGGACGTGTCCAGATGCTTTTGATAACATTGTATTATGTGCTGTTTCATTGGATTTACAATGAGTTCGGTGCGCAGTGCGCCTCCTCTTAAGCTGGAGAGCCGTAGCTGCCTTGTGCCTGAAGGGTTGCAGGTTGGAATCCCGGCCAGGGCATGGATGTTTGTGGGTGTTCGTATACCGTTAGCATTACCCTCCAATGATACTTACTGTGCTATATGACGTCAATAGTTGAAGAGCGACCTGAAAAAATGAGAAAATGCGACTCTTTCTGTTGCCAACCATCATGCTTACTTTTTCAATTACTAAAATTTTCATGAATGTTGCCAGACGAAATAATCTCAACCATTTGGACCAGTTGGTACGAAATAAGGTCATTTTATGAGTATTATAAATATTAATTAAGATTGAATGAATTTTTATGAATTGTTCTAATAGTCTTGATTTTATTAATCTGTAAGTGAACAGTAAAGCACTTGCAATATTTGTAATCAAGAGTTTTTTGTTATAACCTTTAGTACCTGCTTCTTGTGCTGTGCCTCGGATAAAGGTTCTTTAATATACATTTGACCTCATACTACATATAAATGAATTTTTTTCATCGGGACTTCTGTGCAACAGAAAGCTGACATACGAAATAGCGAGCCATTTAATTACATTATTATATTGGTTTATGTTTGATAAATTCTGAGTGAGAATTATCTTTTGCTTAATAAAGTTCAAACCATGTATTTGATGTTTATGATGCTTGAAGATTGACTACTATCAGAACATATTTAAGTTGGCCACAGAAAGTTAAATGTAAGATAGATTTTGCTTGCACAAAATTTTTCAAGGTGTTTGAAATCCATTAAATTCTTACAGATAAAGCCTGTCACGTTTTATGTAATAACTTAATTACAAATTCACTTAGTGACAGATGAAGAGTATTCAAAAAAAAGTGGTGCAAACCAGTCATCTTTGAGAAGTGTCTGCAACCAGCATCTCGATCAGAAATTGGGTTTAGTTTTCATTTTACCAGTTGTGCATATTTCAGGTCAGGTCAGATGGAGGATGCTTGAAGTAAGTGCTAGAAGAGCAATGCTTGAGTTCTTAAATAAGTGTGGTGTGGTGTGGTGAATATAAAATTTGATTAAAATCAGTGCAGTGGGTGAACATAAAATTTAGGAAAAACTGAATGTTACTTAAGAGTAGATCTCATTTTACGAGATGTAGAAGGAAGTTTATTTTTCTTGCGGAAATGTTGGTAAAGTATTTGAAAATTATCATCAAAAGTTTCATAAGAAGAAATTCAGGAAACGTATAACATCTGTTGTATATTTCCTTTTTGATTGTGCAAGTGTGAGTAATCACATATCATTGCCGTGCCCTTCCTTGAGATGTTTAAAATTGATTCTCCTCAAGATTCCTAAGGTTGTCCCCCTCTACGTGTATTCACGATAAAAAAAATAGTGGTTGTGGCGTACCGAGTCGAGCGAGGTAACAGAGACTATTCACACCCGCAAACCCATTCCCGCCAACACATCCCAAATACGGAGCATCTGCCCGTTCGGAAGGACTAGCAGCAGAGGCAGCGTACCGTGGTGAGCAAGAGAACAGAGAATCTATCCACGCCCGCGCCAACACATCCCGAATACGGAGCATCCGCCCTTTCGAAAGGACAAGTAGCAGAGGCAGCGTACGTGGTGAGCAAGGGAACAGAGAATCTATCCACGCCCGCAAACCCATTCGCGCCAACACATCCCGAATACGGAGCATCTGCCCGTTCGAAGGAACAAGCAGCAGAGGCAGCGTACCGTGGTGAGCAAGAGAACAGAGAATCTATCCACGCCCGCAAACCTATTCGCGCCAACACATCCCGAATACGGAGCATCCGCCCTTTCGAAAGGACTAGCAGAAGAGGCAGCGTACCGTGGTGAGCGAGGCATCGCGGATGAGGGTGGCGTCCAAATCGGCCGCTGCGTTGCCCGCGAGTACCAGCGCGAGGAGCAGCGGCAGCATGGCGGAGGCGGCGGCGGGAGCAGAGCTCGCGGAGGCGGCGCGCGGCCTTTATACCCGCCTCGTCGCGTGTGGCCAAGCCGCGCGCCAGCTGAGCACACCCGAGGTGTGTGACGCCCGACGCCGAGTACAAGCTCTGGCGACAGCTGTGTGCCGACTGTGAATAGAAGGCAACCCTGCCCTTGACGATAAATCGTTTTGTAGGAATACTGTTAATTATTTGCAAACAACTGTTGGTTCTTGGTGGCAGTCGGCATTGATTTCATATTCTTGAAGTCTGCAAGTTCTTCGTATTCTTTAGTCTAATTTCTTCACGAAAGCCTTTATAGTACTCCGTCTCATGCCACTACACTGTATTTCTTTTTACTCCACTACACGATGCATATAAATAATAATAATAATAATAATAATAATAATAATAATAAATATATGATGGAAATAACGGCAATACGAAGTGATTTTCTCGTAATACAGTATATACTGCTAAGAAAAAAATATTAATTGCCCAAGCTTTAAGGGAGAAAATATTCCATTTGACGGAATTGGAATGCAAAATTTGAATTGATGTTGACTCAGCTTCCTTCTTTTTATATGTGGATTAAAGTTACATCTAAGCGTCTCAAAGGCTGCAATCTAAAAATTTTGAAGAAAAAATGTGCAAATAATAACTCTCACAATTTTCATTCAAAGTAGATAATTTATTTTCTTGAAGATTGAAATGTTCTCTTTATAACGAATTCACTCAATTCCAGGTATTGTATAGAGTGGTTAAAAACATGAAAGAGAAAGTTTGCAGCCGCAATCATTTTTAAAAGATTGGGAAGATAATGCATTGTATTTAGAGGAATATAATTAATGCAATTGCTTCTAAACAGAGATAAAATACTCTTCAGAAAGGTTCATACTGTTGAAAAAAATCTCCTAATTTGTTTTCTTTATTTTATTTTGAAGGAAATCGTCATTACGTTCAAAGTACAGTAATAAATTGGAATCGTTGAAACGGCAAACTTTGAAATTCAATTTTTTTTCAATGAACAACATTGTCTTATCTTGATGACTAGTGAAGTGTTGGAGACTGTGAAGGCAATCAATTTTATTTTCACCTAAAACGTTACAAAGAGTTACATCCTTCGACTAAAGATATCAATGTTTTACTTCTTTAATGTCGCTTTTAAACTACTGAGGTCACATAGAGAGCACTGTATGTAAGGTTGGGGGTAACGATAAAGGTATACGGACACACACAAACATCCATGCCCCGGGCGGGATTCGAACACGCGCCCTCGAAGCACGAGGCAGCTACGGCTCTTCAGCTCTAAAGGTATCTACACTGCTGTTTGTGAACATTGCAACCCTAATTGGGACACATTCTAATGCAATGAAGTTTATTCCATAGATTAGGATCATCTTCGAGTATGACATTTCAGACGAACGTGCAGACCAGCGAAGCAGTGGTACCCTTCGTTCTTTGCAGAAAGCTTGCACATTCCTCCCTATATGCGGGCGGGCATTGTTCTGTTGAGATATGGCATGTGGAACTGCTTGCAGGAGGGGCAGTACCTTGGACTAAAACCTTCCTGATGTATCAGTTGCTGTTCAGATTGCTCTCAATACATATGAGGCGAGATCGCATATTGTAGCCAATGGCACCCCAAACCATCACACTTGGCGTTTGACCGCTATGTCACAGAAGAACGCAGGCTAGTGGATTGCTATCACCACGTTAGCGTCGAACTCGTACGCGGCCATCACTGCAGCATAAATTGAAGTGATAAAACACTACATTTTCAGCACAAAAGCAAACACGCTCTCAGCACATTGCTGTCTGAGGCATTGGTGGCTTTTGGTCAACGGAATCCGACGCACTGGTATGCGTGCCACCAACCCAGCCCTCAGCAGACGGCGTCGGACCCTCCACGCAGTCACGACCACACTCCAAAGTCGAGTGAACACTGCGGACGACTTCATTCTGTCGGTTACGGCCGTGCGAACAAGATGGAGGTCTCTCGTGTGGTCCAATATCCGCTCGTCGCTGTGAACGACCCTTTTCTATCCACTGGTTCCACGCATGAATCATTGTCGTAGCAGCCGCGCCCCGTTCGAGCCTCAATGACACGATTCGACAAACTCGCTTCCCAGAGACCGATCATTATGCCTCGTCAGATGCCCTTTGGTGACGTGGTGTACCGGCACTTTCTTGCACGTTTCCACGTCGTTTGACGGCTCTACAGCGACTGTAGCACTGACCTCACTTGGTACGCAAAGAAGAGCGCTGACAGGCTAACACGCCATCTCTATGCAAATTTAATGTGTGTATGGATACGCTATTCTACACATCCACCAATGTTTACGTGATTCCAACCATTCCTTAGAGGTGTTGCAATTTTCTAAAACACCAGGGTATTTTGTGTTAGTAAAGATCGTAATAAGTGAGTAAATGTTTTGGATGATAATTTTCTTCCACAATTACGCATGTTTGCGATGTATCGCGTGTGCCCTTGAACGTACACAAGTCGACATAATTGCCAATCTTATTTCACTTCGTTTTCCTGTTTGTAGCTGGATTGTTCTCAACTCTTTAAATGCTCATCGTACTCATATCTGTAGATGGTTTGGTTCTTCATTAGGTTCCATTGTTAAATTGTGATGTTTTTTAATGTTATCCGGAATGTACTCATGTTGACTCTGCCCTTGGTCACATTCTATTTGAATTAGCAAATTAATTTTTCACCCTATTGTGATTATTCACTGAATTTAATTCAATTCTTTAATATTTATTTGGTAAAATAGTATGTTTTAAGTAGATATTTTAAATTAACGTGTATAAACTAGAACGAAGATGTTATTGTATAATAACACATTTCTGTGCGTGTCTAAATCTGTGAATAATACGTGTGTTATGCTTCTGTTTCTGTTGACAGAATTGGCCATTTAAATATTTCACATTTTCCTGATTGTTCGCTGAGGTATATTTGACAATTTACTTTTAATTTGGTAAGGTATGTCATTTCGTAAAGCATTATGATTACGAGGCATAAAAGGCAACCTTTTAGTTGAAGTATTATTATTTCCTGGCATGTCAACTACTATCAACAGTCCTGAATGTGTACTCCCGTTGACTTAATTGGTGTAATTTTTAGTGTTATCTGTATTGTATTGGTTTTTGCTATTGATTTTACTGTAATTAAAGTCATAATAATAGTATTTAAGTTATCAATTAGTTGCTCGTATAAGATACGGCTATTGGGCATCTGCAGTTCCTAGCTTTGTAATCCATTTGACGCATTTGGTAACTTGTTGACTTGATTGAAGTTTTTCAATTTTTAACTTGAACCATATATCTAAGTGATAATTGTAATATCTGATTACCTCTTTTGATGATATGTGAATGCTGCGAGTGCAGTATTTATGTTGAACCTGTCTTTGGGGAAACTTCATTGGCGAAGTTATTTTTACCGTTTTCGATGTGTTTTGGCACTGTTGCATTGGATGATTTATTTGAGTCACAGAAAGGTTTTTGATGGTTGTTTCGTTGGTTGGATTATTTTGGAGTTGGATTTCGATATGTTTATAATTCTGGGAATTGAGCACTGACAGCTTTGCCCTTGAACGTATGTAACATTGAGTAAGTTGAGAAACTCAGTTTATTTACTTTTTCTGTTGTTGACTGAGTTATGTCGGACTTTTTTATTATAAATGATTATCTTTTAAATGAACATTGCTAATCTACAGAAAATATTTTTTTATAAAAGTGTGTTTTAAGGCAGCCTGTGAAACTTTTCTCTTCGCCCTGCCCTTGAAAGAACATTAATTGATTTAATTGACAAGATCTTTTCAGCGCCTTTTCGTAATTGTTGACTAAGTATTGTATTACTTAATTATCTGAATATTATCATTAACACCAAAGGTTTTTTCTTCTGGAGCGTATTTTCTATTCCATAATTAAGCTTGTTCGCAGATCCGTGCTTCTGTGTATTACGAGAGTTGTGATCCACAATTTTACTCCTGAATTTATTTCAGGATATAACCAGCAAGATAAATTCAACACATCCTATTCGTTATCTAAATATTGTATTGCTTTAGTTTTGAAGGTTGTTGTTATTATTATTATTATTAATATTATTATTATTATTATTATTATTATTATTAATATTATTATTAATATTATTATTAATATTATTATTATTAATCGTAGTTTAACTTCAGCATAGATTATATTCCATTGTTATATCTGTTTGCTTATAGAATATTCTGAACGTTACAAGTGTCCTGCTTATGTGAATTTTCTTCTTGAGCGAATTCATGAAAATCGTAAGATAATTTCTAATCTATTTTCTTGATAATCGTACTCCAGTCAATGGTTTTCAGACTGTGCATAAAGCTACTGCAAAGCTACCCTTGAGCGTATTCAGTTCACAGAATCGGCAAGCCTTTTCCAGGTTGTTGATTGTATTGTATTTTGAGTGTGGTAACATCTGAATATGTGGGCGAGATTTTGTTTTTATACATTTATTTGCCAATACAGGGCATGTGAATTGCCAGACGGTCCCGTACACGCTGCCCTTGAGCATACTGCAGTACACAGAATCGGCAAACGTTTTCCAGGATGTTGACTGTGCTGAATTTGTGTTCTTTTTTTTATTATTGACTCACATGTACGTATGTATGTAATATTTGCGTTTATTATGCGTGTTTGCCGTGGGAGGTCTGCGATTATTACGCGTGCTGTTCTTCTGTCTATCGTGTTCTTAAGCGTATTGAAGTTGTCGCTTTTGTTAGAATGAATTTTTCTTGTTAAGTGAATTGAATTTGTTTATTTTTTGTGAGTCAATTTAGTTTGTGTTGACTTGTTATTATCCTTGTTTCTTGTCCGATTGCCTGTGATTGCAGAAAGCGATTCTCTTCTCAAGCGTACTTTAATTGACTTTATTGGAGAGTTTAATTCGATGCATTTTCCTCTTGTTTGCCAACGGATTTTTGTTTGAGCAAAATAAACGTATGTG